CTTCATTGGCTCAATCAATAATCGATCTTGCCTTCATTGGTTGGTTCAACATACGAGCTCATACATTTTGCGTGTCTGGACTTTTGATCTTGCCTTGATTGGATAGATCACATTCTGATCTTGCCTTCATTGGCTGAATCAATAATCGATCTTACCTTCATTGGTTGGTTCAACATACGAGCTCACATATTTTGCGTGTCTGGACTTTTGATCTTGCCTTGATTCGATGGATCACATTCTGATCTTGCCTTTATTGGCTGAATCAAAAATCCAACAGTATGTCATGTTAAACAATAATTCTAAGCGCAAAAAAATCCAAACTTCATAGGGTGACAATATTTTCCTTGCTTAACAATAATTCGAACATCAAAAATATCCAGACTTAACAGGGTGACAGTATATGTCTTGTTAAACAATAATTCGAAGAAAAAAGAATCCAGAGGAAGATAGGGTGATCGTATATGTTTTGTTAAACAATAATTCGAAAAAGAAAAAAATCCAGACGTCATAGACTGACAGTATATGTATTGTTTATCAATAATTCGAAGAGCACAAAATCCAGAGTAAGATAGGGCGACATTATATGTCTTCTTAAACACTAAGAAGAGCAAAAAATTCCAGACGTCATAGGGTGACAGAATATGTCTTGTTAAACAATAATTCGAAGAGCAAATAATCCACAATTGATAGGGTGATAGTATATGTCTTGTTAAACAATAATTCGAAGAAAAAAGAATCCAGAGGAAGATAGGGCGACAGTATATGTTTTGTTAAACAATAATTCGAAGAACAAAAAAATCCGGACGTCATATAGTGGCAGTATATGAGCGTCCCAATTCTATAACTCGTTCGACGCTCGGACGCACGCTCTAATGGTAGTCGGGTAGGAGTGGTAGAGCCGTTACACCTCACTGCTACCCGACTACCAATAGAGCATGCATTCGAGCGTCGAACGAGTTATAGAATTGGGACGCTCATATGTCTTGTTAAACAATAATTCGAAGAGCACAAAATCCAGAGGAAAATAGGGTGACAGTATATGTCTTGTTAAACAATCACTCGAAGAGCAAAAGATAAAGAGTTGATAGGGCGACAGTATATGTATGGTTGCAACGATAAGCACCACAGATTTCCTTAGTATGTAGCTGAGAGTAATTCCTGTGATTTTTAGAAACTTTTTTAGAAATAATTCGAATCAGTCAATTTAAAAAATAATTACTTTTATCATACTTGGGCTTGTGCGCAATGTATGGTTTGAACCATAATCACCACAGATTGACTTGAAATAAAGCTGAGAGAAATTCTTATGATTTATAGACGTACAAAACGGAATATTTTTTTTATAGATAGAGATTCGTTTTCTTAAAAAAACGTTGAGTAAAACAAATAGATTTTTGCAAATTCATCCATCATATTGGCACCGATATTTAGTATATTAAAAATCGGGTATCAGTTTCGTATTAAGCGATCCCGAAAACCCCCATGTAGCAAGTTTTAAGCGATTTTGAAGATTTTTTTAATAATCCATCCGCCATATTGTGTCCGACATTTAGAATTTTGAATAACAAACGGCGGATTCGTTTTCAGCGACCCCAAAAACCTCGAATAGCAAGTTTCAAGCGATTTTGAAATTTTTTTCAAAATCCATCCGCCATTGTGTATCCGCCATTTTGAATTTTGAAAAGCTATCAACGGATTCGTATTCAGCGACCTCAAAAACCCCCGAGAAGCAAGTTTCAAGCGATTTTGAAGTTTTTTTCAAAAAGTCGTCCGCCATTTTGGATCCGCCATTTTGAATTTTGAAAAACAAACAGCTGATTCGTTTTCAGCGACCCTTAAAACCCCCGGAGTAGGCAGTTTCAAGCGATTTTGATTGATTTCAAACAAATGACATTTACAAAAAATTCAATATCAGTTTTTAATTTTTTTATAACTGTGAAGCTCTGTAACTCAAAAACTGTTCATTATTTTGAGTTTTGCCATATACATTTTTTGTTTAGAACTTCTTAAACTAGAAAACTGCAAAGTCTAAACGAAATTGGCTGAAAGCCAAATTCAATGTAAAAAGTGCGTGGTCCTTTTAGGTTAGATTTCGAAATTATCAACAGTCGAAATAGTAAAATGTTTTCTTTGTTATTTCCTAAAATGACCACGAGCGCTGTTTTAGTCTAAAAACAATAAACATACCTAACCTAAAAGTTTAATTTGTGCTCTCTGTGTCAACATTTTATACGTGATTTTAATTTAACTACAAAATTTATGTGTCTATCGATTAACTTGATTTTTACCTAAAATTTCGATTTTGGTCTCTGTACACTCTGTGTCAATATTTTATTCGTCATTTAAATTTAATTACGAAGTTTATGTTGATAAAAGATGTAGCTCTAAAAACATTTTGAGATAAATATTTCGTTTTTCTTTCTTTAATTTCCGACAGTCATTACTTGTTTTTCGGGTGTTCAACGAATTAATAAGTTGTGTGGTAAGTAATTTCTAAAAATAATCTTTTTCATAATAAATATTGTCTATATTTTAGTAGTGCTAAAGTTAGTTTCCATGTACCGGAACAAGGTACACGTCACTGGTATGCGCTTTTGGCCGGAAATCATCACCTGTCATTCTGCCAACATGGACCTGTGCATCGCGGATGCTACGACTCAACTGACTTTTGCTGCTTCCCCTTCTCCGCGCCGCGTGGAGGGAGTACAACAAGCGTCCCATTGGTCCTTGACGAGACTTGGGGGAAGCCAGTTCACACCGATCAAGCGACAGATATAAATATCGCGCTCTCCTGGCCCTCTCTCTCAGTCTCTGCCTGCCTTTCGAGAAGATACCACGTTGCTGCGACCGCCGCTTGCCACAAGCCAAGCCATTGGGGACCACAAGTCTTCCTCCACGGACTCGACGCCTACCAAGCGCATCCAACCGACGTGTGCCGACTTCTTCAGGGTTTGGGTCGGAATAAACCAATATATCTTTAAGAAACGTAGTTTTTCTTTTTCGACACCCAAGAAATACCAATCTGTCCTTTTCAGGACAAACATATTTCTACGTAGTTCTTTGTTCTGTAGTAAGTAGTCCTTTTCAGGACAACTTATCTACCGTAGGAATAGTTTTGTTCTTACTTTCGAACCGCTAAGAGAAATTTTCTGTACCGACGAAGACGACGCTCTGGTGACTTAAGGCCACCGTGACCTTCTGCACCACCTTCTGAGAGGGAATTTATCTGTTCGCTTAAGGCCTCTGAGTCCTTCTGGTCCAGAGATGTTTTTTTCTCCTAGGGTAAACGAGATCGTTTAGTCCACACATGGCAAAGAATTCTCGCCAACGTCTACATCGTCGTCTACAGCGCCAGGAAACCGTTCGGAAGGGAAACACGAAGTCGACTACCTCGCTCGACTCTCCGAGCTCCGCGTCGATACCAAGTCACCCGAAGACGAGCAACGAAGGATCGTCGCCACCAATAGCCATCACGCCCCTCTCCCGGAGGAATCCGTTTCCCTACGTAAAGTTATCAAACTGCGACGTGGGATACGTGCAAAATTCGGCCGCGCTCGACGTAACTTGTTCCCCGTGTCCGAATCATTCAACCGGGCCACCGTGTTGACGCTTGACACGTCACTCGCCGTTGTCGTTGCTAACCCAGTAGCCGCCGACACAAATGCCGCGACCAGGAAACCAGTTTGTGAACTGACACTTCACCAGGTTCACCCTGCTGTCCAGCAGCACCAGGTCTGGATTCAGAAGTGCAAAGCCTTAGTGACTAAGGTCATCCACTCTAGTAACAAATCGTCCCTGGTCATTTCTGAGGATTGTTGTACGAACGTATATTTCTACGCGTGTGTGTAGTGGTTCGACAAAAGGCGGATTGAGTAGCGTAGCGTCGAGTCCCTATACGTACGTTTCGAAACCGCCGTGGTAGAGTTCGGTCTTCGACCCCTTAAACAAAACAACGGCCCTTTTCAGGGCCACCAAACATTTTTACATGAGGAAATTCTTTCGTCCCCTACCGTTTGTTCGAACGTGTTGTTCCCCCTCGGAAAGTGAACTCGCGGAATCAAATCGCCGCGACATTCAAGATGCCATTCAAGAAATATTAAAGGTAGGGCTAGTCGGTGATAAGACCGCGTTTAACGTCCCGCCAGTTATACTCGTCTCCAGGAACGTAAAGAACTCGCGTCATATCATTAAGCCCTTCATGATCTATTAGACATTTGATCTCAAACATTTCGAAATAACTCTCGACATTTATTTCTCCCGCTCCTTGAGCCGTCACTCGTCTAAGTTAACAGTGTCCGGTATCAATGTGCCTATTGATTAAATTGATTTGATTTTAACCTAAAAATTCAGTTTTTGCTCTCTATGTCAATATTTTAATCGTTATTTTAATTTAATTACGAAGTTTATGTGCCTATTGATTAAATTGATTTGATTTTAACCTAAAAATTCAGTTTTTGCTCTCTATGTCAATATTTTAATCGTTATTTTAATTTGATTACGAAGTTTATGTGCCTATTGATTAAATTGATTTGTTTTTAACCTAAAAATTTAGTTTTTGCTCTCTGTGTCAATATTTTATCAGTTTTTTTAATTTTATTACAATGTTTATGTGCCTATTGATTAAATTGATTTGTTTTTAACCTAAAAATTTAGTTTTTGCTCTCTGTGTCAATATTTTATCAGTTTTTTTAATTTTATTACAATGTTTATGTGCCTATTAATTAAATTGATTTGAGTTTTACCTATAATTTCGATTTTGGTCTCTGTGCTCTTTGTGTCTTTTAATATTTCCTGTGTTATTTTAATTTAATTACAAAATATATTTGATTATTTGTTACATTAATTTATTTTTGCAGGCTCAGTGAATCGCAGAGATGGAGTTGGATCTCAGGTTCCAGTACGAAAAAAAAGAAAAACTATAATTGAAGAACCTGAGCCCCCCGAATCACTACTGTCTAGTAGCGATTCAGATACTGACGAATCAGAAGAGGAGCAAAGTGAAAACGAGAACTTGATACTTTCTAGTGAGGAAAATTCTGATACTGATAATTCCGAAGGTTTTGGTAACAAAGTCAATGCTCACGGCGTTACTTAGACTTTTGAAAGTCATGTGACGATTCATTCTTATAAAGAATCAAAATTCAAACCACGGCTTTACATGCAAAATGTTCAAAATGCCTCGCAAAATGCCAAAGAAATTGACTATTGGATGTTGTTCTTTCCGTCAGAGGACATTGATTTGATTCTGCAATGTACAAACGCTAACCTAAGAGATAAAAGAAAAATAATTACAAAAGGAGAATTTTACAAGACAATAGGAATTATGTATGCAATGACAGTGAACGTGTTACATTCGAGAAGAGACTATTGGTCAACGCAGGATAATTTATTTCCGGCTCCAGCGTTTGGAAAAAGATTTGGTCAAGGCTACCATCGATTTGAGGAAATTCTTAATAGCATGGCCTTCTCAATACCCGCTCATGAAAATAATGACAAGTGGAAACTTGTACGGCCATTCATCGAAATGACAGTGTCCAAATGTCGGGATGTATTTTCTCCTGGATATAAAATTACGGTCGATGAATCAATGTTTGCGTGGTATGGAAAAGGCTTACATGGCACAAAAGAAGGAGGCATGCCTGCAGTCATAAAAATTAAACGAAAACCAAAAGGCGTGGGTTGTGAATGCAAAACATTGGCAGACGTGCAAACAGGAATTATGATCGGGATTGAGATAAATGAAGGCAAGGAGGTAATGAAAGACAAATTATGGCAAAAAGAGTTTGGGGCTGGAACTGCGACAACTTTGCGATTAACGCAACCTTGGTTTGGAACAGGTAAGAATAGTTTTTTCAAAATTTTTCTTTTCAAAGCAAATAATAGCAATTTAAATTAATTTATTTATATATTTTATTTTATACAATATTATTTATATTACAAAATTACTTCTGCTAATATTATATATTTTATTGTTTCGTTTATAGAATTTTTTTCTATACCTTTTTGATTTGTCTTAAAGAGAATTTTCAAACTGTAGGTAGGATCGTAGTCGGAGACTCGTGGTTCGCTTCGGTGAAAACTGCCATTGAGCTACGGAAACAAGGCCTTTACTTTCTTGGGATCGTTAAAACGGCAACGAAAATGTATCCAATGACGGAAGCAAAAGCACGTTGTCCAAAAAAATCTGGAAAGAAAGCTGTAGCGACTGCGACAGTAAATGGCACTGATTTAACTTGTGTCGCATGGAAAGATAAAAAAGTCTTCACATTTATTGGATCTTGCGGCACAACTTTAAATGGCGAGCCAGCGAAAAAGAATCGAATAGATGCTGATGGAAATGTTGCTATAAAAATTGTCCCAAGGCCGAAAATCGTAGAAGAATATTTCGATGGAGCGCCCGCTATAGATATCCACAATCATATTCGGCAAAGCGGACTGGCCCTCGAAAACTCCTGGAGCACGCAACAGTGGCATCACAGGATGTTTGCCAGTCTTTTTGGGATTATTGAAGCTAATGCGTATTTAGCTTTCAAATTTTTTAAAAAGGAGAAGAGCTTAAAGCATTCCACTTTTGTAGAAGCTCTTTCTCAGCAACTATTTAATAATCAATGGGTAGTAGAAGAACAAGCGAAAGTTGTTGTTAACGAAGCTGATACGAGTTTAAGAGACAATCACACACTCGTCCAACTTAGCATAGGCGATGATCGTCAAAGAGTCCAAAGACGATGTAGAATTTGCAGTCGAGTTTTTAATAGAGTGCAGAAAAGTAGTTATAGGTGTTCTGGATGCGGAGATAATGCAATAATATGTTCACCGACAACCGGGCGAACATGCTTTTCGTATCACATAATTCACGGAATACCAAATTAAATAGTCTTAAAATTTTGAACGTTCAAATGAACGACGATTTTTTTGTTTCTTCTTTAATTAACTTTATTTTTTTATTTTAGTATAGTAATTTTAAGAAGTATGTAAATGCAAAAAATTTCATTCATTTGAACATTCAAAACTTTAGGAATTGATTTTAATTTATCAATTGATATAATACTTGAAAAGCTGCTTTTTTTATTTATAACTAGTTATCAAATTATTTATATCGTTTTCCGAAAATTTTATATATAATATAATTGTTTTTTAATTTTTTGATTATTAAAAGATTATAAAAAGTTAATGTTATAAACGGAATATAAAAGTTATTTAGAGTATTTTTTTCAAAATATTTATTTACCATCTCTCCTATTTCCAAATAAATCCATTCCTTTTTCTGAAAAAATTAAATTAACGGCATTAATATTTTTTTACGATTTTGCATATATAAAATTATATTTGAGGAAGATGAAGTAATCCTATTTGTTGTTTCTAATTTTTATTAAAAACTGTTGCTAGAATTTTATTTTATTCCTATTCTATAATTATTATTATATCCACAAAAATAACACTGTAACTCTATTTAATTCTAATAGTTTCTAATAGTAATAGTTCTAATGAAAAATAAATATACAATTATAATTCATTTTCTTATAGATTTTTTGCCAGGTAATAAATCAAAATCTTTTTAGTTAAATAAAAAAAATTAAGAAAAAAATTTGTTTTTTTAGTATTTTTTTTATTTTTCAAATAAAGTTTTTCAGGTCGGCAGAATCTTTCCCTTTACACATGTAGAATCAAACTAAAGTAAATTTTAATTTGAAAAACAAAAAAAAAATCAATAAATAATAAATTATTTTCAAAGAAATTATTTAAACAAATATTTTTATCAGGCCCACTCTAAAACTTATCGCAAACTATTTTTTTTTACTATTTTTATGTATGTAATAAAATTTTTTTTTAAAGTGACAAAAATTAAAAAAAAAACTGAATTTAAAAAAAAATTATTATTTTTTTATTAAAAATTGTCAAAATATTTTTTTTTTCGTTAGGATCGTTTACTAAAGTAAACTAAAGTAAAATAAAAGCAAACAAAAATAAATTTTTATTTGAAAAATAAAAAAGATTAAAAAAAAATTTTTTTCTAACAAGTTGATTTTGACTGAATTAATAATGTGAACTGAAACGCGACATAGAATCGCCCAAATGTACGTTTATATAGCATAATATGTATTTGTACAGTATAATGTATAATAATACATTATAATATATATTTAAAAAATATAACATTAAATAAAATTTAAATATTTTTATTTGAAATAAATTGCGTCCTGCCGGCAGGATGGCGGAAAATCCTGCCGGCAGGTTGGCGCAATGAGCGGAGAAGCATCCTGCCGGCAGTCGCTTGTCCAAGCGTCCTGCCGGAAGACCCTTCCAGCAGAATGGGCGCTTGGACGTTCTATCATTAGGGAACCGACATCGGACATAAGGATGAGTAGAGAACTCAATAATTTGTATAATTTTTTTGGCTGCATCATGGATAAATATGTGTAGGGCCTTAAATGTCTACCTACAACTCCAACATGCCCCTGGAATTTTTACAAAAAATATATTTGTTGCACCGCAACCTGGGAAACCCCTTTCAACTCGCATTGGCGAGTTTGTTAATAAAAAATGAGTATTAAAAATTACTCCTTGAGAATTTTCTGGAATAATTTCTCTTACAAAGCAGTCACGACATCGCCAAGTTAAATTGTTATTTTGATTTGTTGATATCCATATGTTTGCAGAAAGACAAACATGGAGTCTCGACGCTTTCGAATAAGTCCATCAATTCCTTTAAAAAAAATTGTCACACATATATGAGGTATTCCATGACAAATCGGAGACCATTTGGCTTTTGCACCTCAGATCTTTTTGAAAATTTTTTTCCTTTTAGTACTCATGAAGACTAGCTTTCGCGATTTTTTTCAAATTTTTTCATCAAGCCCTTTAGGAGATATCAATTTTTGAAAAATTACGTCACTTTTTTTTGAAATGCTTCTAATTTTGCTAAAAATTGACCAAATTGGATCAATCTTATATCAAAATTTTTGTTTTTAAACGTACTTTCCAAAAAAAATATTGAAAGTTATTTTCGAAAAAAATTTCTATTAGATTTTTGAAATTTAAGACTAAAAATTCATTTTTGAACCTGTGTGTATCGATCGATTTTTTTCAAAATTTTTTTACAAAAACTGCTCTAAATTTGACGAATTTTGAGCCTGGTCCGATAATGGGGAAACGATGGGAACTATTTTTTTCGAATTTTCAAATTTCACGTCTTTAATTATTCACGTTAAAAAGTATTTAAAATTATTCTAAGAACTATTTTACTATATATATATATATGGGACGTTTCACGTCAACCGGCCCAGAGCTCCATCCAAAATTCTAATCAACGAAAATCAACTTATTACGGCTCAAAATAATCGTCAGCTCATACTGCTTCGAATAAAAAGTGGCGAATTAAAAAATTCAAAATGGCGTCTTTACTGTACCATGTTTTGCAAATTTTTTTACTTACTCAGCAAACAAATGTATTAATTACCTTGAGAAAAAAATTGCAACTTGTTGGATAATGTGTCACTCTTATGTTTTTGGGGTCGCTGATTACGAATCTGAAGACAGATTTTAAAAATTTTCAAAATTAGCTAAAATTATAAAAGATTTATGTAGAGTAAAATTTAAAAAATATTAAATTTCTATATTAAGGGGTAGTTTTGGGGATTAAGGGTAGTATTTTGAAAAATTACTTTTATGATATTTAAGATCCTTTAAATGAAGCCTAAATTTGTATGGAAGAAAAATTTAAAACAACTAATTGAATAATGTGAAAGGGGTGGTTTATGGAGTTAAAGGTGGCGAATCCATCCAATTTTTAAATATTTTATTAGCCATTTTGGAACCACCAATCTTATTTTACAAAATCCAGATTCAAATTCGTAGTCACCGACCCCAAAATTCCTCGAGTAACAAGTTTCAAGCAAATCTGATAATTTAAAAAAAATTTTTGGTCGACATATTGGATCCACCATTTTGAATTTTAAAAATTTTTAAGAACTGACTTTAGATTCGTAATCAGCGACCCCAAAAATCCCCGAGAAACAAGTTTTAAACAAATCTGATAATTTTAAAAAAATTTTGGTCGCCATATTGGATCCACAATTTTGAATTTTAAAAATTTATTAAATCTGACTTTAGATTCGTAATCAGCGACCCCAAAAACCCCCGAGTAGCAAGTTTCAAGCGAATCTGATTAAATTTTAATAAAAATGTCCGCCATATTGGATCCGCCATCTTGAATTTTGAAAATTTTTAAAATCTGACTTTAGATTCGTAATCAGCGACCCTAAAAACCACCGAGTAACAAGTTTCAAGCAAATCTGTTAATTTTTAAAAAAATTTTGTCGCCATATTGGATCCGCCATATTGAATTTTTAAAATCTTACTTTATATTCGTAATCAGCGACCCCAAAAATCCTTGAGTAGCAAGTTTCAAGCGAATCTGATCAAATTTTAATAAAAATGTCCGCCATATTGGATCCACCATCTTGAATTTAAAAAATTTTTTAAATCTGACTTCAGATTCGTAATCAGCGAGCCCAAAAACATAAGAGTGACACATTATCCAACAAGTTGCAATTATTTTCTCAAGGAAATTAATACATTTGTTTGCTGAGTAAGTAAAAAAATTTGCAAAACACGGTACAGTAAGGACGCCATTTTGAATTTTTTAATTCGCCACTTTTTATTCGAAGCAGTATGAGCTGACGATTATTTTGAGCCGTAATAAGTTGATTTTCGTTGATTAGAATTTTGGATGGAGCTCTGGGCCGGTTGATGTGAAACGTCCCATATATATATGAATACCCGGATCAAATAACTCGACTGACGCTCGGACGAACGCTCTATTACCAGTCAAGTAGCAGTGACAGCTTGTGGGGACTCACTGCTACCCGACTACCATTAGAGCGTGCGTCCGAGCGTCGGTCGAGTTATTTGATCCGAGTATTCATATATATATATATAATTAATAATGTGTAATTATTTGACACCTAGAGATTAATTATTTTAGATTGATTAAAGCAAAAAGATATAAACAAAAAAAGTATTAAACATATGCTCAATAAAGTTTTTTCATCGAGCAGAATAGTCGGAGACTATTCATTACTCTATGATTCTGTAGTTTAAAAGGGTTGCAGCAGAAATTAAATGCTCCTAAATTTGACATGGCATAAGAACGTGGAATTGTTTTTTTACATGACACGCTATAAAGACTAATAAAATATGTTTTTAGGTGAAATTTGATTGCGAAATTTTGCACTTGTTCCCATGGTGAATATTAATCAGGAGAAACAGTGCGCAAGTATTTCGTATTCTTCTGCGCACGCTATTACTCCGTCATTTTGAAAATAATTTCTGTTTTAAAACAGGAATCTATCGTTTTTTTCAGGTTTTGATCTTCCTAGTCTGCAAATTTATTTTTTAATTCTTAATTTGTAATTAAAGATTTCATTCATATTTATTAATTATCGAGTTATCTGGTATTATTTTGGAAATCATTCATTTTAAATTGCTTAATAACTTCTACAAATAAAACAAAATTTTAGATAAATATTTAAAATATTACTTTATTATTTATTTTCTAAACTATTTTATTTTATAAAACTAACAATAATCGTTGGGTTTGAATGAGAGAAAATGATTATTGTTTGATTTCCATACAGATAATTAAAAACGTAAAATTTGAAAATTCGAAAAAAATAGTTCCCATCGTTTTCCCATTATCGGACTAGGCTCAAAATTCGTCAAATTTAGAGTAGTTTTTGTAAAAAATTTTTGAAAGAAATCGATCGATACACACAGGTTCAAAAATGAATTTTTAGTCTTAAATCTCCAAAATCGAATAGGAATTTTTTTCGAAAATAACACAGCCCCACAAAAAAAAGTGTCGTGCGCGG